TTAAAACATCAGAGCATTCAAGAGGATTAGAACTTGATATTTATTACCCGGAATACGGTTTTGCGATTGAAGTACAATACAAGAACACGAAAAATATATTAAATTCTTTCATAGAGGAGATCCCAATAATTTTATCAGACAGCAAGAGAGGGATCAACTCAAGAAAGAATTATGTGAAGAAAATTGGATCGCTTTAAGATACATTTGGTACTATGATAACCCAATATAGTTATTCCTGAACATCTTCGAGAATTGGGTCTTATAGAATAAACTCGAACTTTAAATGCTCTATGATTGTTACATACAGTATATGCATTATTTTTCTAATAAATTATCGCAATTTATATGTTAAATATGACATTTGTAATACGTTAAGATCCATTATGATGTTTTTTCATATATTATCATCTTGAATTGTCAATATGCCTAATCTCCATTTCCGCATCTCGCATCTTATTTCACCATCCCTTTATTAAACAAATACGAATAATAATTAAAACCGCAATTGACAAGGTCGATGTCGATCCCGACTCCTTGAAACCATTTCTCTAAAGCTTGGTGTTGCAAGAGTACTGCGCCTGCTTGGTTCTTTCTTTTCAGTAGACACAATACAATTAGCCCAGAACGCATCAGATATGATGAGAAGTGTATCAAGGCTAGTGAGGAAGGCAGGAACCTGTTCAAGTGACATAGGCACATTAATATGACCAAATTCCACCATAACATATAAGACGTCACACAAAAGCGTGGTGAGATAGAATGTGATATGTTGCCCTATTGAGTACAGAGCACTTGTTCAGCAATGTGAGATCCGAAAAAAAGTTACTGTTGGAAACTTACCGACAACCTGAAATCCGAGCATACAATTCATGTTATAAAAGTCGATCGCATCTTTGTTAAACACAGCTACCCGGATGAGATCCGTGCAAAGGAGGTAAAGGTTATTCTCCTCTTCTTGAACTTTTGCTTCACCATGTCCTTTACTTAGACCCCAAGATAACTGATTTATCTCATTAATGATGGCATCTGGTTGTTTGGCTCTACTCGTATACTTTCTGGCCTTTGACTCTTCTGCCTGTTTATTCGCCCTGTAACCCTGTTGATTAGAAAATGTATATATGAAAATATTATATTATCAAGTTAAAGAGCTTACCATCTCAAAAGTACACCACTATCAGGATCCGAAAATATTGGGCAGAGAATTGTATCGATATAACTAGTACATAATTCCACCTCACCGACAGGGCTTTTTAATGTTACTCTTGGAACGCTTTCAATACTAATAATTAGAAATAAAAGGTGTTTAGCATTGGATACTGTAAAAAATCTCCTTGTTCCATAATTTGTTACAATCTTACATGTTTCTTATAGCCTTCAAAATTGCACGTTCTCCATAAGAACGGCCAACTGCCAGAATTTGCAATTCTGAAACAGCATCATCTCTCGTGATTTCTTTTCGTTGTAGGCGCTGTAGCAAAAATGAGTGCATAAAGAATTTTTCACATCAAATAAAGAAGATATTATACCTTAACAATCCGGACAAGTTTCACTAATGTTTCCTCGTCAAATTCCGTTTTTTGGTTAGTAAGTCTTTGTAAAATATCGTTATGCATAATTTCTAGTAACTCGTCACCAAAAACCTCCACTATACTAGGGCAATGTTGTTTAGACTTTAATAATATAATGTGCGATAAGGATCTATACACAGTTAATATTAAGATGATTATAATTAGTTTCTACAGTAACCTAGCAAATGAAAAAATTAAGCATACAATATCTGCTGGGTGTGGCTTTCCACGAAAAGACCTTCCCTCTTTGCTAATTTCAATGACTCTTCCTTGAAGAGATGCCACTTTTCAGAAACATCCATGTCATTTACGAACCATCTGGACTCTTTTCGGGGTAATGGTCCCAATTGCAGTTCCATAACGTCGTTGATTATTACTGGGCAATTAGGTTCAATTCCGGTATCCGAATCGCCAGATTCATGACTGTTATCAAATGGGAGGTTACCTGCAGGTTGGCGTGGCGACGGCGAAGTTTCTCTGTACTGATATTGCCTCTTAAGCATTTCTTCCTCATTATAATTTACACGTTGTTTTTTTCTCAAAGAATAATTGTTTTTATTGGATTGATTTGAGTCAATGAAGTTTTCTTCTTGGTAATCTTCAGAAATACGTTTCATAACCTGTCTGCGCCGTTGTCCCACTTCATTTATATAGTCGTTATGTTCCAATGTACGCTCCACAGTGAATACCATCTGAGAGATATCAGATATTATTTATTTTGAAACGAGAGCCGAAAAGAATTAAGAAGCAAATACTTACATCCAAATTTTTGAGAGCAGTTTCATATCTCTTGTCACTTTCAATGCCTTTCCAGAAGTCCTTTACCTCATCGCTACTTGCCCCTTTCTTGGATTTATAAAAAAAGATAATTAACAGTTGTTTTACAAACTAATGTAACTATCAGACGATGTTTATGAACACATCGAGCATGATAGGTCATCAACAACTTAGCCTAGAACAGTTCGTATCAAGCACGATAGGTCGATAATGAGCTGTTCAGATTGATAAGTTGTTGTGATGTGGTAATGACTATCAGTAAAGGGTGGTCAACATCAGAGCACGATAGGTCATCAACAACTCAGCCTAGAACAGTTCATATCAAGCACGATAGGTCGATAATGAACTGTTCAGATTGATAAGTTGTTGTTGATGTTAAATAACTTGAGAACATCCGTAACCTGACGAGTACGACTTCTCAAGCCCACCTTTACTCTAGCAAGTAAAAATTACTTAACTGTAAATTCATTCAAAGCAGAAAGAGCTATAAGCCGTTGTTCATCTGATCCGGTTGCTACTATCGTGCCCAAAGACTTAGTATATGCATTGTGTTCTTTCCGTTTATTCCCTGTCCAGTTTTCTTCTTTCTGGCGGAAATTTAAAAAATTTAAAAGATTCCAATCGCGAGATTCAGATTCTGAGAAATAGGCCGTTTTCATTTTTTTATCAAGCGCGAAAAGAAACCAAAAAATCGGATCGGAACATTTATGTTTCGCAATCCAATCAAAATTTAGTTATCCAAATATACGTGAATCTGACACGCGTTTTCCATTCGTCGATGTAAAAAATGCATCAATGGTTATGTAAGTTTGCTGTATCTGATCTCGGTAGGCCAGAAGATAATTCTCTAGCGATTCGGTTAAGGTTTGATACGCCATTGGATTTGCAGAAAAAAAGCGAACCAACTGTGTCCACGAATTCAACCATAATATACTCGTGAGAGTGATTGATGTATTTATAACGAGAATCTTTACATTTAAAAACTGATACAACTCGTGACGAAATATTTAATAACTGCCAAGTCTTTTATTTTTTCACTACAACTCGTCAGGAAGTGTTATTTCTTATATTGCGTTGTCTCGCAGGTTCCAAATCTTTAGATGAAATCGAATAAAAAACGGATTAGCATTGAGGATGACTAACGTCATAAAGTCAAAATATCCTATACACTTACACGTCCTGAATTTTTTAGCCGAAGGCTTGCTCGCGCTAAGATTTTTGTTGACTGAGCTTTGGGGGGGAGGTATTTTACTGGCGATTTGTGTCCGTTATCACCCCCGTGTTCAATGAAAAGAGAACCAAACATCCACTTTTGTTTGATCACGGTGTTGTGTATATACAGTAAAATATAATACTATGACGATGACTGGAAGGTTTCCATGGATTAAAAGGCATAAGCGAAAAGCCATCGCTTGTCCTTGCCTAGCATTAATGGTTACTTTAACTTGGGAAAAGTTAATTCTCTGCCTTCGAACGTTCCAAAAAGCAGACAACGCAGAGTGTATTGCGATGGTCTTTCATATCTCGATGAAATTGACAGATAGTATTAAAATTGATGGACGCGGAGGGAAATGCTCCAAAGGATTTAGAGACATTAGGTCCAAGATCAAGTTTCTTCATTTTAGCGTACGAGGCCGGGTATGTTCTATCAAAATAATCAGGAGTGGCTGAATTCCTTGTATTAGATCTCGAATGCATGCTTGATACTGTTGACAATGTGTTGAAGCAGTATTGTGTTCTTGATTAATTCTATTCGCAATGCTATTCCAAAATTCGTTTCGACTTCTTCCGAGGTTATGGTACTCTATATTTCTGTTCCCTCGTTCATCGATTAGAGTGCGTATTTGCGCATCTGTCCATTCCACCATTTTTTCTTTTTTTTCATATATTTATCCTGACAATGAATGTAATGAATTGGTGGGCAAGGAGAGATAACAAGTTTGAAAAAATTGGTGAATACTATATAAAAACGTCAACCATAGTTCATCCATAGTTTAACTGTAGTTCAACCTGAAATTATTTTTATTATAGATTATTTAATGTTTTATTTACGTGAGCCAAAAAGTTATATTCAAGACAGCTGATACAAGAATCTTTTTAAACCAATTTCTCAAGAAGAAATGAATGAAATACTTAAGATACTTCCTAATAATAAGACCCTAGAAAAATCTCATATTAGTTACAAGATACTAAAAAGGTTAAGTCAAATAGAAAAAGAATATCTACAAAAAATACTTAACAATTTCTTGAAATAGGAAATCATATCTATATCCTGAAAGTAAAGTCATATATATATAATAGGCAAACTGTAATTATAGAAATATGAACTATTAAATACAAGACCTATTGTATTACTAGAGATTGCAAAAAAATATTTTATCAAAGTTTTAATCAATAAAATGGGAATATTTAAAAGATCAATAATATCCTTAGATAACTCAATTATATAGGATTGCTAAAAGAAAGTATCATAGAATTAATTCAAATTTTCAATAATATCTGTGATAATATATGAGAAAACAAAAAGGAATTATAAATACTTTTTCAAAATATAATCTAAACTTATAATACTATCAATTTAAAAAAATATTAATAAATGTCATAAAAAGAATCAATATATTTAAAGGTTTTATTGAAATTGAGATAAATCTTTTAAAAAATAGAGAATTCAAAGTTATATTTAAAAATAACCTTACAAAATCCATAAAAGTAAAAGATGAAATTGATTAAAAAGAAACCATCTTGTTATTAATATAAAGAATCTTTTATAACCCTTTACTTTGTAAAATTTAAAATAATATTTATAGAAGATATAAAATATTAATTATTTAGAATCAAAACAAACTATTAAGAAACTAAAGTCAAAATATATAATTGTAATCTTCATATATAATACAATATACTATAGATAGCAAGATTTAAGAAATATATAAAAAATTTTGAAAGTAGTAAAAATCTTCTATGTGATCAATAACTTTTAAATCAACAATAACAAATCAATTCTAGTTATTATTAATAATTCTAATTACTATCTAGAAGAAGTTCAAGCTAATACTAAAAAAGAAATAATCAAAAATTTTAATAAAATAGAATAAATAAAATTTTTTGAGAATTTAAATAGGCAATTAAAAAACTATAATTGAATTCATTCAAAAAATTCATATAGTTACTAGAGCTTTTAAAAAAAGAAAGGGACAAATAAATAAACATGTTACTTTCTAAATAGAGTATTAATATTAAAAAAAAAATTTAATTATAAAAATATATAACATACTAATAACAATATATAGAAAACTTTTTAAAAACAAAAATTTATTATATAGATTCATACTCAATAGTAAAATATACTCTTCAAAAATCTATAATTTAAAGAGTATTTGGATACTACAGAAAAAAAATTAAGTAATAAAATTGTATAATAAATAGAATAATTTTAGATTTTTAGGAATTACAACAATTATAAAACTCAAATAAATACAAATTAAATACTAGAAACTATTTATTCTGCTAATTTATAGCTTTTAGATTATTTCTTAAACAAAGACAATTTTTCACTTCAAATAATCAAGTTGATTAAAGATATAGAAATAACTTTCTAAAATTAGAAGTAGTATAATATTATTGAATATAAAAAAGAAAATAGTTTGATTAAAGAATATTTTATATCTAATAATTACAATAAAGCTATTCTATCATTAAAAAAATAAGTTAATTTACTGTATATAGATTAACTAATTGATTACAAAATAAATAAAATTAAAAATTGATACATGTTTCAACTTTTTAAAAAACAAACAAAGATCTTATTTTATAATGGTTCTTAATTATTAACAAAATACTTTCTAGAAATGTTTTGAATCAACTTATAGAATTTTGAGAAATGGATCAGACAAAGTGAAAATTAATATATTCTATAATAAGCTTAATTAAGATAGAAAATAAATATAGATAGTTAAAAAAAATAATAATTATTAACTAATCTAAAAATAACTATTATAAAATAAGCAAGAAATAAAGCAAAAATTGAATACTATAATTATAAAAATAATGAAAATAATTAAAAGACAAAGTTAAATAAAATACTTAGGTTACTTAAAAGATTATATTCAAGAAAACAATTGCATTATAAAGAAAAATATGAAAGAGAGATATATAATATTATATCAATACAAAAAAGAGTATTAGAAGAGTTCAGATATTAATAATTTTAAATCACAAGATATTTTTGACAAAAGTAATAAGAAAGCAATATATAGTAATCAAGTTCTGTCAAAAGATTTATCCTTACAGTTAATGATGGGTCTCTAAAATATTTAGCATATAAAATTTTATAGATCATTTATATCCCTTTTTGAGGGACAAATTTATAACTCTTTACTTTAATAGGAACAAAAGTTGAGAAATTCTATAAATCAATGTTTTGAATAATAAAGAACAATTGTGGATAGTTTTTTTTAATTATTAATTTAAAATTTTTAATTTTTCCTAACGAGAAATATTTGACTTTTGTTCCTATCTCCCCCTTTAGAAACACATTTTTACTTACAATTTTTTTCTCAATATTTCAAAATAGATTATATAGATATAGAAAATTGAAAAAAAATTATTATTAAAAAGAATATTAAAAAAGAAATATATTAAGATTATTCAATAGATATATTTCATTTTTTTTTTTAATTTTTTTAATTTTTTTTTTAATTTACAATTATATTACTATAGTGTGTCTTTATTAAGATACTTAAAATATTAAAATATTTTATAAACTTTCGCAAAGCAACTAATTTATTATTATATATTATTAATTAAAGAACTATACTACTTAAAAAATATAAGAAATCTATTAAGCTAGTTTGAATCAAATAAAACTAAGTCTAAACTAAGTACTCTAAATTAGTTTTAAGGAACAATATTATATTTCATAAATAGTTTAGTTAAAATTTCTAACTACTGAAATCATTGTCAATAGTTTGTTACAATCAATTATCCCAAAAAATAATGAATTACTAAAGTATAATATTAAAAGAAAAGAAATTGAAATATAATACAAAGCCTTTTAAAAGGTTTTTGTTTTATTTTATAGTTTTCTCTTGAAAGAGTTTTACCTAATTGAGATATCCTCTAAGCTTCATAATATTTAAGAAACTTAATCATTTCTAAAAATAATTTCAAGAAGAATATTTTACTAATTGAAAAAAAATTATTTCATATATTGTTCTTCATATAATATTTGATAAAAAAATAATATAAATAAATCAACATCTATATAATTCAACTATAAATATTACAAAAATAAATATATTAACAATTCGTTAAATAATTTATTAATAATTTAGCAAAAATTCATTAAAAGTTCATCACAAAATTATTTATTAACAATTCAATAAAAATTTAATATTAATTTATTAATAATTTATCAAAAATTCGTCAAAAATTTGTCAACTATTTATTAAAAATTTGGCAACTATTCATTAAAACTATTCTTTAAAAATTTATTAACTATTTATTAAATTATTCTTAAAAGTTCATTAATTATTCATTAAAAATTCAGCAACTAATTATCAGCAATAAAATAAAAATTAATAAACTTATGTACAAATTTTTTTGAATTGAGATTATATTTATAAATTATTTTTTATTTATTTATTTTTTTTTTTTATCCTTTGTTAGGCTAATTATATGTGTTTTATTAAACATTACTTGTTTTGGTTATTATTACTTTAAATACAACTTTGAGAGTGATTTATTACTTTATTAGTAGCTCAGATGAAAACCCTTTTAACTACTAATTTCATTGTTTGCAAATCACTACTGCAGATTCTCTTTGTGAGTTTTGACAGAAGTTAAAACCTTAATTATCTAATTTCATACTTTATTTCTTTTAAAAAGAATCATTTCAAACCTTTATTTTCAAGTTTTTTTCTTTTTATAAGGACCTTTTCATAATTGTAATCTTGTTGTTCTGATTTAAAGGACTGGTTGATCTTCTTATTTTGTCTTCTCTATAAATTTCTTATACTTGTTTTTACCCAATTATTCTTGAGTACCTTTCATTCCAAATCTTCTTTTGGTATTAATTGCAAATCTTCTTTTGGAATTAATTGCAAATCTTCTTTTATATCTTCATTATCTACTTTTAGACTTCTTTATCTATTCTTTTCTAATAACATTTTAGGTTTGACATTTTCAATATCTGATTTTTCATATTAGTTTTATGCAGAAGTTTAATATATTCTAATCTATTTTTGCAATCTTTTCTATAAGCCTAGCTATATATTTGTTCAATTCTTCTAATTTTACTCTGTTTTCAATTAAAATCTTATTTCTTTCTCTTTCTTATCTTTTCTTCTCTCATGCAAAAGTTTTCAAAAGTCTTTTAAAATACCTTCAGTTTCTTTGTTCCAAATTTTCTATCATTGGACTTTATATGTTAAACATTCTAGTAGATATTTTAATGTTTTTGCTTGTTATTTATATGTTATATACTTTACTTGTTTATATAAATCTGATTTTTTTATAGCTAGTTTAAAAAGTATTGATAACTCTTTATTGATTAATTTGATAAGAAAGCTTCTTTCTTGAAAATCTTTAAAGAAGGTGTTCCAAGTATATTTATTCTTTATATTTTCTCATATCAAATTCCATGTGTAGTCATATTGATCTCAAATCTATTGGTTCCATTTATTCGAAATTCTATTTTA